GGGTGGTCGCAGATGATCACGGGGTCGGTCGCGGGTCGGGGGTCGTGAGCAAACGCAAAACAGCCCGCCGCAGGCGCCGAATTTGAAATTGCAACGTGCGCGGGGTGGTGGCGGATGATCACGGGTGGGTCGCGGATGGTCGGTCGGGGGTCGTGAGCAAACGCATAAACAGCCCGCCGCAGGCGCCGATTTTGAAATTGCAATGTGCGCGGGGTGGTCGCGGTGGGTCACGGGGTCGGTCGCGGGGTGGGTCGCGGGTCGGGGGTCGTGAGCAAACGCAAAACAGCCCGCCGCAGGCGCCGATTTTGAAATTGCAACCCGCGCGGGGTGTTCGCGGTGGGTCGCGGGTGGGTCGCAGGGTGGGTCGCGGGTCGGGGGTCGCGAGCGAATGCAAAACCGCCCGCCGCAGGCGCCGATTTTTTGAAATTGCAATGTGCCCGGGATGGATCGCGGGTGGATCGCGGGTGGGTCGCGGGGTGGGTCGCGGGTCGGTCGCAGGTGGGTCACGCAGCGGGGCGTGAAGTGGGTCGCGGGCGCGGGGTCGCGGAGTGGGCCGCGGGTGGGTCGTGGGTGGGTCGCGGGGTGGGTCGCGGGTGGGTCGTGGGGTGGGTCGCGGGGTGGGTCGCGAGGTGGGTCGCGGGTGGGTCGCGAGGCGGGCCACGGGGGGGACGACGCCAAACAAACAAACCAACAAACAACAAACAACAAACAAACAACAAACAACAACAAACAACAAACAACAAACAACAAACAACAAACAACAAACAACACAACAACAACAACAACAAACAACAAACAACAAACAACAAACAACAAACAACACACAGCACACAACAAACACCAAACAACAACCAACAAACAACAAACAACAAGCACCAAACAACAAGCACCAAACAACAACAAACAACAACAACAACAACAGCAACAACAACAACAACAACAACAACAACAACAACAACAAACAAACAAACAAACAAACAAACAAACAAACAAACAACAGCAACAACAACAACAACAACAACAACAACAACAGCAACAGCAACAGCAACAGCAACAGCAACAACAACAAGAATCCGCATCGCGGAATTCCACTTCAGCCACGCACCCAGGGACATTGAATGACCGTTCGGCCCCCTCGCTCTGACGAGGGAGACCTCGAGGGGCGCGATCCTGCCGTATGTTGTTTGTCCCGGGGACCCAGAGCCAAACTCTCAGGAAACGACGGGGGAGTCGAAGAGCGTTCCCCCCGAACACGTACCTCAATGTAGGAGTGCTTGCTTTCCGCCCCGGAGAGGGCCAGGGGGCGACGCTTTGGGGCAGCCTCCGTGGGGTAGAATCGTGGGACGCAGACGTTGTCTCTGGGGCCATCCTGGGGCGCTGCAGAATCAGCCTTGTCTGGTCCGTGCTCAAGATGTGTCGGAACAGGTTCGCGCTCATGAGGGGGATGATTGTACCAGCACAGCTAACGCAGCGGTCCGCAAAACAGTGCAGAGAAGTATCGTGCAGGTCGAGCAATGCGTCGCACAGTGAGGGGGGCAACTTTCATGCGCTCACACACTATCCAAAACACATCCCCCTGGCATATTCCCAATGCTTCTAACACCGTGCTCGCCGTTTTGCGCAGTCTTCTCGCCCCAGCTCTTTCTTCATCTGAGGGGCCGAGACTCCGAAGTCGTGTATCTAGCAGCCTTCGGTCCATGCCGCCGAGATGGCTGAGACGTGGGCCGGAGACCTCTTGAAGGCCACTTGAGGGCTTCTGGCAGGCCGCTCGAGGCTGCCTTTGGAGCCCTTGGGGAGCCTCTGGGGGCCTCTGGGGAGCCTCTGGGCGGCCTGCTAAAGGTCTCGCGGAGCAATTTTAGGAGAGAGGCCTTTCGAGTTCCCCCGTTTGGGCCTCTGCTCTGTTGGGTCCACCTCTGGCAGTTTCGGGGGCTTCTCGGGGCGATCATGGGGGATGTTCGGCCGGCTTGGGGTTTTCTGAAGACTGAGTACGCGCAAGTGTGAAATAGCAATTCGGCCATCTCAGGACAGGTATACGACATGCCGATGCCGAGGAGGCGCGCGCCCGCCGCCACCGGACAAGAGTCGCGCCGAGGGGGCTCGCAGAGGCGCCGGGCAGTGCCAGGTAGCGTCCGGGACCACGCAGAGGTCGAGGGCTCCCGCAGGTGCGGATTCGAGCGAGGGGCCGAGCGTGGCCTTTGCTGCCCTGCTGCGCGCGGTGGCTCTCTGCGCCACCCGGGCCCTGCGCCACCGCCGCACCCCCTGCGGCGACCTGCCCCGCGGGCGCGGGGCGCCCAGCGGGCCCCCCGCCCCCCTCCCGCTGCGGCCCCGAGCCTGCACCAGGTGGGCCGACCCTGCAGACGGCACAGACGACGACCCTGCGGGGTCCTCCGTTTTGGCACTCCGTCTCTTCTCGCGTTCAGCTCGAGCGCGACGTTTTCCGTTCGTTTTGGGCCACCGTTTTCTTCCCGTTTCTGGTGGTCGCAGCCCCAACAGTGGAAAACAGAGGAAAAAAACGCACCCAGCGTTTTTGAGAACAGCTAGGCCCCCACCCCATCCCCGTGCCTATCCGGGCCCCCACTGTGTCAGCACCCCGGTCGGGGATATGCCCCTTCGGAGCCCAGAGGAAGCGGCCCACATCCCCGTCGACGGGGGGTGAGCCGGCCAGCGGGACCAAGGCCACGTCCATGGGGAGAGGGGTGGGTTAAACGATGCTCATTCGTCCGATGCTTCTGTGCAGTGCCAGTCAGTCTGCAGAGCCCCCGGAGGGCGCAGTCTACCTGTGCTTCGCACACGCGTGCACGTCAGCATCCGTGCAGGCTTGATCGTCCTTTCCACCAGGGGACCGCCATGCAAACGGCGCAGGATGCACCATGCTGCATCGTGTCCGAGTCTCACCGAGCGCGTTCCACTACTCGCAAAGTGCCCAGTCGCAAACGTCTGAAAAACACACGTCTGCTCTTTATGCCATTTATCGTCGATCCCCCGCGGGAGATCCAGGCCATTTGCGAGCAGTGACTCCGCGAGTAGTGAAACGCCGCTGCTGGAGCCAGCTCTTCTCCGCCCCGCCCGCCCCTCGGAGCAGCCCCGAGCCCGCGCCCGGCCTCTGGGGGCACAGCGCTGTGCCCCCTGGCCATTCGGCCGCGAGCCCTCCGCCGGGCCTCTCTCCCGACGCCGCGGGCCCTGCTGGCTGGGCCCCGCCGCCTTGTCCCTCCCCCGGCCACCCACCCACTCGTCGACGGCGAAAGCCGACGACTCCGGCACGTCGAGGGGCGGCGGGGGGTGGGGCTCGGCATGTGTCGCAAGCCAGGCCTGCCCCTCCAAACGAGGGATGTTCAGAAAGAGTCCAGGCAAATGTTGTGGGGACGATGTTTCAGTCATTCCTGATGTTTTCCATCTGTTTTGAGTATTCCTTCTGTCCACAATCCGCCTGTAGAAGGACATGCCCGACCCAACATTTGTCGAACACGTGGGTCACGCGGGGACATCCGAACCGTACCCCCGCCTCCCATCGATTCAGGAGAATCGATTGTTGGTAGAGGTGGGTTCCGGGTGTCGCCACCTAGAAATCGATTCAGGAGATTCGATTGTTGGTAGAGGTGGGTTCCGGGTGTCGCCACCCAGAATCACGTTCAGAACCCCGAGCACCATGTTCCTGCTGCATTCTTCGAGCCCGATCGAGTTGTGATAGCGCCCCAGCCCGAAGCCGAACGCAAACGCCTTTTGCAAACATGGTGCAACTCCTGGTGTCTCGGGGCTCCCGTGACTGCGCATCCGCCGTGCCTCCCGCAGCTCCGCACGCAGGGCGGAGCACCTTGGGCCCCCCGCCGAGCTGGGCCTCCCTCCTGGGCCGACGCAGAAAATACTCCTCCTCCTCCTCCTCCTCCTCCTCCTCCTCCTCCTCCTCCTCCTCCTCCTCCTCCTCCTCCTCCCTCCCCTCCTCCCCCTTCTCCTCTCTCTCTATCCTCTCTCCTCTCTGCTGCTCCCCCCCTCCTCCTCCTCCTCCTCCTCCTCCTCCTCCTCCTCCTCCTCCTCCTCCTCCTCCTCCTCCTCCTCGATCCTCCTCGACGGGAGAGGTGCAAGAGAACGTGTGCTCGCCCCCCAGCGGGTCGACTTGCGTGCGGCCTGACGCGGGCTCGCGAGAGCGGCGGCCCCTCGCTCCGAGACGATGGCGGCGATGACTGGGAGGGGGAGAAGCTACCCATACCGCTGCCCTTCCCTCGTTTTTCCTTTGTCGGGGCCTCCTGGGAGGCCCTCGTCGCTGCCGCTGGATCCGCCTCGAGGTTCTGGTCAGAACGCACCCCGGGAGAGACCCTGGGCATAGCGGCATCGGTGCCTCTTGGGGCTCCCCGGACTGCCGGCGCTCCACTCAGTGCCCCTGCGGCGGCAGATTAACGAGATTGAGCAGCGGAGCCTGGAGATTGCTCACCAGGGGAGGGGCAGGAGGAGAAGGGTGAGGCGTAGTACGAGGACGATGCGGATGAGCAGGATGAGGAGGGAGCGAGCGAGCGAGCCAGCGGAAGCGCGTGTCAGTGACTGGCGCATCGCTGATGACAAGGTGAGGGCGGAGCGATAAGCAGGGAAGCCTACCACTCCGCAGGAAGGCAGGGCCAGAGAGGCACTGCGGGCCGCCCAGGGCGACCGAGCCACGGCGGCAAGCCACCGCGGCAGCTACATTAAGCAGCAAAAGGGGGCATTGCAGCCCCTGTTAATCAGAAGGGTCGGATCCCTCCCCCGAGTAGTCCACCGCCCGAGCCCCGTCCCTTCGAGAAGAGGCAGCAGTGGCGGCATCGTCCTGCCGCAGCACGGCCGGCGCAGGCTCGTAGGAGTACACCACAGATGTGGGGTGCTTCCCGCGCTCAGCATCCAACAGCTTCTCAGCCTGCACCGCGCGGTCGGCACGTGCCTTAGCAGCACCTTTACATATCCTTTTCAGGCCGCGACAGTTGCCCAGTGGGCAAAATCAGGAAGCACGTACAAGACAGGCACATAATGGTTCGGCCATGCCGAGCTGGCCTGTGATTCAACTCACGGAAGACTTCAAGCCCATCGGTGCCCTGGCCATTGTCTCCCTCGGGAGGCAGAGGAAGAAGGGGACCCAGGTCCTCAGGAGGAGCGGGGGGGTCCCCAGGACCCAAGAGATCTTCGGCCAGGGCAAGGGCAGCAGAGGCGGCTTGGGACGATTCGGATTTCGAACCAAGGTTCTCAGCGAAGAACAGCTGCGCTTTCCACCTCTGAATGGCTGTCGGGCGGCAATGCCTGGCAGCGCCACTTCGCAGGCCTTTGAGCGTAGACTGCGACGACGCTGAAGCGTCACATTCTCTGCACCGCCAGGCACCTAACTCCGCAAAATGATGCAAGTCGTGCTCTGCCAACGCGAGCCTCGGGCCACTGTGCACGGTCCGACTGGGCTCTGCAGGGCTATCAAAACGGCTAGCCATACTAGTGATAACCTGCACAGCACTTGAAAGGAATCTCCAGGTCAGCTTTTTTTGCTTGAGGTGGGCAGCTTCGGCGTCCACTGCAACTTGAGTGACCTGGTTCACTTGGGCCCCTAGGCGGGCGAAAAAACCGGCCCAGTGGTTACCCAAAAAGTCTAAAATAGCTTGGGGTTCGGAGTCGAGCACATCTTCGAGACCTCGGTGGGCCTCGACCCAAACGAAATCAGGAGGGCGCCTGCTGGGAGGACATTCCTGGAAGATGTGCCGCCAAACGTCAGCATGCTTGCCTCGGGCAGAGGCTTAAAAGGGCTCCCAGCTTTGGCCCTCCTGTACAAAGGCAAGGTGGTCGCTACACAGGGTCTCGATCTGGGGGGCTACCTTCAGCGCACACCAACCCGCGTAGCGCTCAGCGCGGGGCAACGACTGGCGCCCAGACAGCGGACCGTACAAAGCCCTAGCAGGCAGTCCACAAGGGCCCAGCTCGACGACAGCCCATCCACACCTTCGCAGCTCGGGGCTTGCGTTCGCAAGCCCCGAGCCATCGGTGTAGACGCGCCTTCCCCAAACCTCAGCTCCCCAGGTGTGCACAGGGCAGGGCGGGTCGTCTGGCGGCAGCCTGATGGGATGGGTTGGCAAACCAAAGGCAAGCTCAGGGGTGTCCCAATCAGGCCTGCCTAAACCAGACTCTCCAAGGCCCTTGAGAAATCCCCTGCGCTCCAAGACCTCTTCACGCATCCAATCCAGCTCGAGATCTTCAGGAGGCGAAAGGAGGGGGGGCAGGCGAAAAACTGGTGCCCAAGAGTGCCTGGGACCCCCGAACAACAAAGCTCATGAGCCTCCGAAGACGCATATCCCTCAGCCTGCTTACGCGCTGGGGGCCAGAGAGCGTTGCCTAGCAGACATCTGGCGCAGCCTCTCTTTACATGGTCTCTCATTGACAGACAACTGTGCCTGAGCGAGCGCCTCCAGATCACGAAACCGCTGTCCGCCTCGGGAATCCTCGCAACGACCCTTGCCATTTGAAAGCGCCCAATACCATCGCGAAGCAGCGCGCGGACTTCAACAGGCATAGTGGTTTAGAGGCTGATCGAACGCCCGAGGTCGTTGACAAGGATATGAGCTGCATACATCGTCCAACCACTCCGCTTGAGCGATAGGTAGACTGCTGCCATCGGGCCATGACATCTGGTCCAGTTCGCACCATCAACAAAGGTGCGCATGAGCTGCTCCCAGCCACGCTGCAGCCTTGCCATGGAGCCGATGTTGTCCCAGAACAGCGCGGCATATCTGCGAACCGAACCGATCGTGATATCATAAATAGGGTCGTAGAACTCATCCGCCTGTGTGGCCAGCCACGCCGCGAGCCCCGCATGTTGCCGAGCCCCAACCAGCAGCCCTGCCATACTGCGCAGCTTCGCGAGCGTGGAGTCAACTCCACCAGTGCCTGAGCCGCGGGCTGCAGCTGGCAGCAAGCCCGTGCGCCAAAGAGCTCTCACCTTGCCTTTGGACCCTCTGATGAGAGCCCTCAGCTTGTTCTTCCGCTGCTGTAGGCCCATCAAACGCTTGCGCTCTTGAGCTCTGCGCGGCGGGGCCCCTGCCAGCTCGTGGCCAAGGTTTCGAAGGTGTGAATGGCACTTCAGCTTGAATAGCGCTGCCATCTTGCCAATTGCTTTAGATGCCTTGGCCGACGACGTGATGCATCCACTCTCGCTGGCTTGGATGACCAATCCGGAATCGAAAACCTGATGTGTGAACCAGCGCACCGCTCCGAACAATTGCTGCGACCGTTCTGGCTGAGGCCCAGTCCACTGGGAGCTCACGTCGCCCATGAGCGCCCTGGGGGCGACCTCCACAAACGATATCCGCACCTGGTGCAGCACTGGTCCCAGCAGTAGGCGCACCATGGCACAAGCGTGTGAGCATCCCGCCGAGATACCCAGATATGTCGTGTACTCCTGCGAAACCGACCCGTAGGCTTTGATGGTCCTAGGTGCTTGGCGCGCGCAGAGTATCACCCAAATCAAGCGCAAAGGAAATTGCTGCTGTCGGGCGCGCGTGAGAAGGTACTCGAGCTTGATCGTCTCGAAGCACTTATACATGTCAATCAGCACGCTCACCGACGCATGGCCCCGAAGCCGGGCCAGCTCTGAATCTAAATTGTGTTGGAAAGCCGCGTCCACCGATGTCGCACCTGGACGTGACCCCCAGAAGGCGTCGCACGGGCGTTGGAGCTCCCATCTTTTGGACAGTGGTCGCCTCAGCCGACTCCATATGCGGACCAATGTGTCGATGAGAGCAATCAATCGATGTCCACCGTCTCGTTTTGCAAGTTTAACCAGTCGGGCCTGGAGCCTGCTGTCAGGCCAGCAGCACATGCCCTCGCACTTCATCAGGAGCTTTGCCACCATATGTAGTCTTATTTTTGAGATCACGTCGGGCGACCTTGGCTGCATGTTGATTTGCCCAAGCGCTGTGTGCAATTTGAACTTGCGGATGACTCTCCTCGCTTGGTCACCAGTGATAGGTGGGGGCTTGTCCCGCTGCTGCCAGTCACCAGGGCGACGCATCTGCTGGCGCCCATGAGGGACCCAGATGGTAGACCAATGATCAAGGCAAGCGTCCGCCACCTAGCAAGGCTGACCCGCGTCGTCGGTGAAGCCGAGGATTCCCTGCAAAGCTTTCACCTTTGAATAGCGATGTGCCAGCTTAGCTCCTGTGAGGAAGGCCTTCTGGGCCCAGTCGGACCAGCCGCTAGAGGCAAAGGCACTGATAGCATGAATAACCTTCTCCACTTTGGCCAAAATGCGCTCCGCTCTGCCGAGGAAATCCGCGGCGCAGAAGGTCGTGGCCACATCGGCTATCCCCAGCTGGTCCTCGGCATCCAGCAAGTCGTACACCCATCTAGCCTTGGCAACTCTACAGAAGAAACCCTGCATGTCCCATGCGAGCTTGGCTAGGAGGCGACGCTCCTCGCCGGCGGCAGATGCGCCCCCCCCAGGCACCACGATTGCCAAAGAGATCTGGGAGAAGGCGTGCTGGGTATACCCCTGGGCCTTCTGCGCTTTGCACGACGCGCTCGGCGCGCGTGCGCATCCGAGTATATCGCGATCTCTCAGAGCCCCGAATCATCAGGGGTAACTCGGGTCAAGGATAACTCGGGTTCGCTTTTCGGGAATCCAAGCCCGAGTTACCCCGGGCCCGAGTTATCCCGGATAACTCGGGCGTCCAGAGCCCCGAATCATCAGGGGTAACTCGGGCCAGGGCTAACTCGGGTTCCTTTCTCGGGAATCCGAACCCGAGTTGCCCCGGGCCCGAGTTACCCCGGAGAACTCGGGCGCCCAAATCTCATGTGGCAAAACCATCTGCCAGGTGTCTTGTAAGCATGAAATCGCTTAGGGACGGGTGGCTGCAGGGGCTCGGTTCGCTTCCAATCTCATTCATTCAGCGGGTCTTGCACGCCCTTGGTATCTGCGTCGTCGATGCGGTTGCACAATGTCATGTCGATCCAGAAGTTCATGCTACAGTCCACAGAGCACTGCATCCCATGCTACTGAGAAGGACTGGCTGCAATCGCTGTTCGCAATGAGATTCTCTGCCCTGGCTCGCCTGGCCACTGGCGGGGAGCGCGCACACCCTGGCAATGGAACCGTATTGACCTGCATTGGTTCCACTGGCATTCGTGCCCACATGTGGTGCCCGACAACTTCCATTGTCAGCTTGACTGGCAAGTGTGGGTACGTCGAGGCACCCTCAAGGACGTGAACCCCTCGGGCCTTAAGAGCAAGCCCGCTGGAAAGACACAAGTAGTCGAGGGTTGTGCCTGGCTTTGCGCTCATACATGTGGGCTCAGCTGGCACCTTGGAGAAAGCAAACACTGAGTTGAAATGCTCGGCAAGCCGCTCGGGCGCCATGTTCCAACCTCCAGCTATAATCAAATGGCGCTGCTGCGCATTCAGCATGCGGATGTACTTGGCTAGGGCCGAGGGTATCTCCAGGTTGCCATCATGCAACTCAATTGAACCGATCAAATAGATAGATATGAGAACCACGCCCCTCTCAGGACCCCAGTGGAGATGCGACACCAAGACTCGACCTTGTACCAACTCGGGCTCTTCTAAGCCTGGTCCATGACTGGCACGAATGCGCTTGGGCGCCAGGGCCGCAAGGCCCCCGTGCGTTCCCCCTCTGCCCGTGTCTGGCGCTGCAGCCCAAAGTCCCGCGACGCCCAAGCGGGCAGCAGCCGCTTGTGCACCTGGGAGGTGCTCTCGGTCCGCGTGGTGCTCCTGCGCCAACACAATGGAGTTGCTGCAGCTGGGCATGCTGAGGACATCCGTTCGCACCCCATGTGAGGATATATTAGCTGTGACAGCACTGCGCACTGGAACTGCACCTGCTCCAGGGGAAGCCCCTGCAAGCATGGCCCAGAGTAGGCCGCCTGCAAGACGACCGTGAAGGCGTTGAAAACCTCCACGTTGAAGGCCAGGTGGCACCCGACCCCCCCCCCCCCCCCCCCCAGCCTCCTGACGACATGTTTTTCTTAGCCGCATCGGGCGCAACGCGGGGGGGGGGGGGCTTGGAAGGCCTGCCCACCACTGTCGTAGAACGCCACAGCCCAAACCACTGTAGCTGCAGGCCCACCACTGCATAACAGCTGCCATTGCAATCGTCATCCACGAAGACCACGATCCCTTCTCTGCTCGCCTCGGGCTCTCCCTGCCGACCCCGCGCGAAGGCGCATGGCCGCCAGGGCCAAGAACATTCGGGCATAGCCACCAGCGCGTATCGGGGGATGGGGGGCCCGCGAGTGAGTGCAAGGGCAGCGCCTGAAACCGCCCGCAAGACACAATCCTGGGGGTCGTAGCCGACGAGGTCCACGATCCCTGCTCTGCTCGCCTGGCGCCTGCCCTGCCGACCCCATGCGAAGGCGCATGGCCACGAGGGCCGAGGACCTTAGGGCATAGCCACCAACGCATATCGGGGGATGGGCAGCACGCGAGTGAGTGCGAGGGCAATAGCTGCAGCCACCTGCTCGACACCAACCTGGGAGACGTAGCCGCTCCTGGTGCACACGTCCCCTTCACTGCACACACCAGGTGCCTGCCCTGCAAACCCCACGTGAAGGCGCATGGCCACTTGGGCCGAGAACATTAAGGCATAGCCACCAACACGTATGTGGGGGTGGGCGGCAGACGAGTGAGTGTGAGGGCAGTATCTGACACCACCAGCAGGCCATGTAGAAGAGGACCAGCCACGTCAGACAACCGAGCATGCAGACAGCAGGCTCACGCTGTAACCTTGCGCCGCTTGGCGTAGTCGTTGGCCGCCTCCGCCATCCGCTTGACTCTCTCACGGACTTCGGCCTCCTCTGCTGGCGGCTCAATCCCGACTGCGGTGAGGTACGAGCGCAGCTCCTCGATGTCGTCGGTGTCCATGGGGGCGGGGACTGCTGCTGCATCTTGCTGCTGCCCCTGTTGCACGGCATCAGATGCCTGCCCAGGCGGCTGGCCAGGTGGCGGCGTCTCCGAGGACGAGGGCGCGGCCGCTGCATGCGCAGTCGCCTTGGCCTGCAGCTCACGAAGCGCGTCGAAGCACGAGCTGACGGAGGCGGTGAGCGTAGCATCCGCCCCCAGCTCTTGCAGCAATTCGCTAAACTTATCGACTGGGAGCTCCAGCGCTGGCACCATCGTCTTGAGCGAGAAACTGCCTGTAGCAACAGTGGGCGTTTTGAGCGCCACTTGTACCCGCTGGGCCTCGAGGTCGACGATCTTCTGCTCCAGCTTGGCAAGCTCTGCAGCTGTTTCGCCGATGAGCAGCTCCAGCTTCTCCTTGTCTGCCTGCTGGCTGGCCAATTTGCCTTCCAACTCAGACTGCTGGCGCTTGCACTGGTCAATGCGGGTCGTGAAGTGATGCACCTGCGACGAGAAAGGCCTGCTGGCAACAATGCGCCCTTTGAGCTCATCTCGTTCACGTACGAGCTCGTCGCGGGCCCGCACGACAGCTGCATCCTCGAGGGGGCCGAGGGCCTTGAGGGTGGTAGCGATCTCTCCCAGCCTCTTCTGCTCCAGGTTGGTTGTCTCCGAAACAAGCGGCTCCTGTGTGGCTGCAGTACCTGCACCCGCTGAATGGAGCTGGGCCTTGAGACGAATGATCTCCAGGTCCTTGGCGCGGAGTTCCTTCTTGGGATTGTCCTTGGGCTTGGGCTGCGGCGGCTTGGCGTGCGTGCTGGGCAGCACAGGCGCCTTGTTGCCCCCGAAAGCAACTCCCTTGGTGCACGAGCACATCGAACACGAGAGTAACTCAGCCATATTCCACCATTTTTCTCCTGTCTTGGGGTGTACACACCATCGGCAGTGCCAAGCCTTTGCCCAAGCTTGTCTGGCGGCAGCCGCTGAGCCATTGGAAGGCGGTCGTCCGCCATTGGCCATGTCACGCCTGCGACAGGAGAGGAAGACTGGGAGTCGATGCTGCGTGGCCGGGCGGCACGCGCGGCGGAGCGATGAAGAAATTGAACACGGGCCGCGGACTAGCGGTATCCACTTGTTTCCGCTGGGAAACCAAAACCTTGAGCCAAACTAGCTACGGACGAGCAGGATGAGGAGGAGGAGGAGGATGAGGAGGAGGAGGGGGGGGGAGGGGGGAGAGGGAGGAGGGAGAGGGAAAAGGATAGGGAGGAGGTCGCGGGGAGCAGGGACGGTTTGGAGCAGCAGCACCGGCATGTGGCGGAGTGGCGGGCAGGGGGGCACTGGACCGACGAGCAAAACAACACTTCCATGCTATTGGAACATGGCGCCTGCGCTTCAGCCTCGCGTGAAACTCCATCCTTCGAACGGGGGGTGCGCTCCAATCCACATGCGCCATCGATGAGGACACTGCTCCGAGGGGGCGCCAGAACCGGTAAGACGATACTTCCATGGTACGCGGGACGCGGCGCCCGGGCTGCAGCCTCGGATGAAACGCCACTCTTCGAACGCGGGGGGAGGAGGAGGAGGAGGAGGAGGAGGAGGAGGAGGAGGAGGAGGAGGAGGAGGAGGAGGAGGAGGAGGAGGAGGAGGAGGAGGAGGAGGAGGAGGGAGGAGGTGGAGGCGGAGGCGGAGGCGGAGGCGGAGGCGGAGGCGGAGGCGGAGGCGGAGGCGGAGGCGGAGGAAGAGGAGGAGGAGGAGGAGGAGGAGGAGGAGGAGGAGGAGGCGCTCCAATCCGCATGTGCCATCGACGAGGACGAAGCTGCGGGGGCGCCGGGCTTGGGAGAGTTCCGACGTCCTGGAGCCACGGCCTTCCAGAGCCCTCCAGGGAGTGACCTGCCGAGGGAGGGAGGGCTGGGGCTCGGCGCCTCGGAATCGGCAGGTGCTCGAGGTGAGGAGGCGCTCCAAGCGCGCGGCTCACGGGCCCGGCAGAGCAGGAAGGGGAGCGGGCGAGACGCAGACGTGGAATCCGGCATGCGGGGAGCACACGGCCAGCGTCTTGCCCTGCGGACCCCCAGCGCAGGCACGAGGGGGCGGCCACGCGGCCGTCACTGCGCCAGCACGAGGAGCGGCGCGGAGCAGTGGAAGCCGTCTCCGAGTCGAGGGCGTGCCTGAGCCTCCTGTCGCGGCGCGGCGAGCGTGGTCGCAGCAGAGCGCCCGGGCAGCCCGATACAACTGTGGGTTGGCGACTCCCACAGAGGGCACCCATTGGTGCAGACTGACCACAGGAAGCGGCCTAGAAACCAATGGGCGAGCTCCAGGAGGAGGAGGAGGCGGAGGAGGAGGAGGAGGCGGAGCAGAGCAGAGGAGGAGGAGGCGGGGCCGGGAGCGGGGGGCGGGGTGGCGGAGGGCGCGCCCCCGGGAGGGGCAGAGCCCGGGGCGCCCCGGGAGCTCTGCGACGGGGGTCGATGCAGCCGCGGGGGTCGGCCAGAGCGCCCGATCTTGCAGGATCCTGCAGGGCCAGGGTCATACTGCCCTGGGCTTGGGCGCAGGACCCTGCAGGATCCTTCGCATTGACCCGGGGATCTTGCAGGATCCTGCAAGGCCTGGCTGGCCCGGGCCAGGAGATCCCCGAGGCGCTAGAGGGCGTCGGAGGTGCGCCAGGGGCTCGGTGGCGTCGGGATCCCGGTGGGGCGGGTCCACTACGAATGACGGGCCCTTCGCCGGAGTGATTTCTGGGGTGCGGGCTCACCTGGGGCTCCCAAGGCGCTGGACGCGATGCGATGGCAGCGGCGCCTGGGCGCTCGTGTTTTTGGATCCCCCGCGCGCCACCCTCTCCTGCGCTCGCGCGCCAAAGGGCACTCTTGCACAGGGCTTGCCCAGGCCCCCCGAAGTCAGCTGGGCAGCGGCGTCCCATTACACCCGTCGCAGCAGAAGACCCGCCACCGCCGTCCTAAAGCATTACAAGAGATCACCACGAAGAGGAACTTACACAATATGATCACTACAGCATACTAGCTCTAACCGGAGACGCCTGCGGCGAAACACCGCCGATCCCTGCCTTCTTGAGGAGCCTGTGTGGCCAAGCGTTGGTCCAATGACTGGCCAAGTTATTGGACCGAGTGCTCCCCCAGAAGTTGTGGAAACCCGGGGGGTGACACTTCGGAGATGAAGAGAGAGGAGAAGGAGGAGAAGGAGGAGGAGGAGGCCTCTTGTGGCCCTCTGGGACCTCTAGGGGGATTTCATGGGGCCTCTTGGGGGCCTTTCGGACCGTTTTGTTGGCCTCTTGGGGGCCTCTTGGGCCAGGCCGTCTTGAGCCATCTCGGGGCAATCCTGGGCCCTCTTGGTGCCATCTTGGCCGTCTTGGAGGCTTCTTGGAGCCCATCTTGGCCGTCTTGGAAGTCTCTTGGGCCATCTTGGGGCCCTCTTGGGGCTTGGCCTCTTGGGCCGTCTCGGGGTCCTCCTGCTGGCGTCTTGGGGGCCTCTTGGGCCGTCCTTGGGCCATCTTGAGGACCTCTCGGATTGTTCTTGGCCGCCGGAAGTCCGGAAAGGAGCGAACGGCAACGCCCAACCTCATTTGGCAATTAAGAACCATCTCACCACCGCTTCCGGTGAAACGATAATTCTTTACGCTTCGCGTATCCCCACCAGCCCATCTCACAACAGCAACTCTTGCGAAGCATGCCGACAGTCGTGTTTATCAGGCGTGTGTCCGCGTAGTAGTAGTAGTAGTAGTAGTAGTAGTAGTAGTAGTAGTAGTAGTAGTAGTAGTAGTAGTAGTAGTAGTAGTAGTAGTAGTAGTAGTAGTAGTAGTAGTAGTAGTAGTAGTAGTAGTAGTAGTAGTAGTAGTAGTAGTAGTAGTAGTAGTAGTAGTAGTAGTAGTAGTAGTAGTAGTAGTAGTAGTAGTAGTAGTACTTTTAGGGTAGCTCTTTGGGAGATGTTATAGTATCGGGAGCATAGCTCGCGCGCCGTTGCCTTTGGCTCAAGGCACGCGCGCCCTATTTGCCCGGACACCGCGAGTGTTCGCTATGTGCTGGAAAGATCATTGCATCGATCTTATCCCATCTTATCCGTCCATTCCTCTTACTGAACCACCTCAGTACGATACCGGACGCTATTTGCCATCCGCTTCCCATGGAATCGGATGCTATTTGAGTTACCAGGCTCACTTTCGACTTGGTAGCGGAGCTGGCCGCACTCTCGTGTGGTCAGCTCTTGCTCTTCTTAGCCTCATACTCTTCGGCACGATCTTCGTGACCACCTACCACCCTGCGCTACCACTCCCAGTACGTTTACGAGGATCTATCCAAGAGCAAGAAGCGACACGAGAGGTACGACGTCTAGACAACGACATTGGTACCATATACGCTTCATCATTGCGCTACCACCAACCGCTCGGCAACGAGCCAAAAGCGCAATACTTGAAGCAGGGGCGGAGAGATCCGCCAGATAGAGCGCCTCGAAGACTCGACAAGGCGCTACCCCAGCGCGGCAACGCGCCTAATAACCGCCCTTATCTACACAGCCTTGGGCTGGTTATCTTCGCTATCATATGGTTCGCGCTGGGGGCAGCAATCGGACACATGCGTCGTGGAGACAACAGCACCGATGGGCAAACACATGGCCCATATTGGGACCCTCAAGGCAACGTACCTTTCCGTGAGTACGTTTATGAGGTCAACGCATGGCTCAACGTCACAAGCGGACGTATGACGCCACAGGCCCAAGCGGCCGCAATACAACGCGGCCTAGGTGGCCTAGCGAGGACACTCGCCATGAGGGTACCGCCTGACATTATAAATTATGGTGCTGACATCGATGGGGTCCACACCGACCCAGTGACCTACATCATGTTCCTCCTAAGCATGAAGTTCGAGCGCCTGGAAGATGAGCGCCAGCTCACTTCCGGCACACAACTCATCGACTTCCACGTGCCTCACGGGGAACGAATCGATGTCACCCTTACACGATTTGAAATGGCCCGACTTGAGGCACAGTCGGTGGGATTTGACCTTCCCAACTTCCAACTACTAACCACGATCTTGTTCCGCGCCTTAGGCGTCGGCAACCAGCGAGCCATGCAACTCCTACAGCCACTCAATCACCAAATGCCCCGAACACAACAGTATGATGAGTTGCTTGAGAGGATGCTTTCGATGGGCCACCTATCTGAACGGTCTCCTGGCAATATAGGATCTGTGTTTGGAAGGGGAAGGGGATCTGGTAGTGGAAATTTCTACACTACCTTGACTACTGAAGCCCAGCCTGGGAACGGGCCCTCAAGCATATGGGCCGATGGCCCTGGTGAATCCACCGCTCTATTAGCAGGAGAACGATCACAACCAAGCTGGGCAACCAGCCCTCCTTCCAGAGAACCACAACCACACCGTTCCTTATGGGGTGAATCAAACCCCCTAACCGACGGTGTATCCACCCACTTGGGAGACGAGGATTTCGACTCCGGCACCGACACAGATACTATATCATCAGACGGTGTTGAAGCTTTAGATTGGTCAGATATTATGAATATGGATAATGACAATCAGCGTGCTGAACATTTGTTCTGGTTATTACAACAGGCCAAACGAAGGTGGAGGAGGTTCAAACGAAAACCAGTGCGTCGTGTTAGAAGGAGGATACGGAGGAGCTTTAAGGGAAAAGGTAAAGGTAAGCGAGGTCGTCGGAGGTTGAACGGACGAGGCATCGCGGCATTTCTCCAGAGGCTCTCAGATGAACAATATGATGAGATTTTCTTTGGGGGAAAGGGCCGTGGCAAGGGCCGTAGAGAGACCTCAGGAAAAGGAAAGGGTAGGCGGGGAAGCCCGCGAGGTAGAGACGGCCAGGTTCTTAAATGCCATGAATGTGACAGTACCGACCATCTTGTGCGAGATTGTCCAGCCAAGGGAAATGGAAAGGGCAGGTCGACCGAAGTCCATTTTGGCTCAAGTGAACCATTCATCGAATATCTGAGCCTCCAGGATTTTGAAGCCATGGAGCAGATATTTTACACTTGGGTCAGTTGCATGGACAACGTCGACGAGCTCGAGGCGTATGGTCATGGATTGTACGCGTACTACCTCGAGTACGTCCGCCAGTTCGTTATTGGCAACAACGAGCTCACTCCCGTGGATCACGGTACGCTGGGAAACCAGCCTCTTTCTTTCTTCGACTGGATGTTCGGGAACCCAGGTAACATCATGGCTTACGAAGGCAGTGACGAGGACATCTCTGTGGAGGCCTCGCCTTCCGAGGTTGAACGCAACCTCCAACCTCCACCCGAAATCCCGCCTGGAAACAGGCCTACTTTGATGGGGGACTATCCCCAAACTACTGAAGACTTAATAGATATGGAGTCTCAGGCGTTCGTTCAAGCTTTCATTGCAGGTGAACCAGAGACTCCATTTATACCCCCTGGTTCGCTTGCTCCAGGCGAATACGGACCACGTACTCTCCTGCAAACCCTCATGAGGATGCATGAGATACTTATCACCGCTTATCCCGAGAGTCAAGAGCACATCGAAGCTGACAGCATGATACTGCAGGATACCGACGCCTGCGGTAGTTCGGAGTTGTTGTTGGCAGCCCTGACCCTCATTGACAGCGTGCGTCCTGAGGACGTGCAGAGACACCTGATATACTCCCGCGGTAGATGGCGCAATGCTCTGGAGATGGCTATCGCCATGCGCGGCCATGATCTTCCTCCGCCAGGATGGGGTCTCCAGGCGGTGGGAATGTGACCAAACCATACGGCCATGCGCAACATTGCCGGGCAGCCTGTGCTCGTCAACGAGCCTGAGCCGACAACAGCGCCTCCTACCCCGGGGCAGCCGAGCGACGCGCAGGCGCCGGCTATGCAGGGAAACCTGCCTATACCGGCTGCGCCAATGGCCATCACCATTGGTAGTTCTACATCAGAAGAAGAAGAAGGCGATGGTTGCGGGCTAGATGAGGATGAAGTTACAATCCTCATGATGGAAGTTAATGGTGAGGAAGAGGTTGACTTCGATCCTGACGAGTCTGAATCATCATCACCATCGGCACAAGCGCCATTTGCGCCGAGCTCCAGCCAGCAGGGAAACCTGCCTCTGTTGGACGATCCACCTGGGGTCGCACAGGAGCCTCCGCAGGCGCCTCCACCGGTTACCGCTCAGGCTGCTTCGGCAGCCTCTTCTGATGAGAACACCAGAAGGTCTCGTTCCCATACGCGCGTCAGAGGAGAGCCACATCCACAGGCTCGGCTTCCTCGTGAGTGGAGGCAGGCTGGCCCGAAAGAACACGCTCTCAGGAGAGGTGGCCAGCTGCTTCCGTATAATGACCCAAGACGCCGAAAAGGGGAACACTCGGCCTTCGGCAAGGGCAACCCTGCCTATAGGGACGCTGAGGGCAAGGCCATCCGCGGAGGCTATCAGCTTGCAACAAACATCCGCCGCCCTGAAATTGAAGAAGCGCGGACTCAGCTGCGAAACATCATCGCGGCTCGCAAGCAGTATAGACCTCAAGCAGCTTGCGGACCTTGTTCCGAGCCGTTCCAGAACCACAGACCGGGATGCCCCGTTGGCAACAATGAAGGTCTGAGCCCCAACAGGGGCAAAACCCCTCATAAAGAGGGCCATCCGCCACTTATCCCGATGACACAGGACGAGATCGCAGAAGTGAATCGTCGTCTCGGGATCCTGGGCCACTTGGAT